TAATAATAATAATAATAATAATAATAATAATAATAATAATAATAATACATTTTATTTCTAGGCGCCTTTCTTGGCACTCAAGGTCACCTTACATTGTCAATCATAAAAACAGACACAATATTATACACACAGTAAAAACAAGTAAAATAGAATTAAAATAAGACAATGCAGTTGCAATCACAGAGTGCAGGCTTCTTTAAACAGATGAGTTTTGAGTTTGACTTTGAAATGTGGCAGTGAGTCTGTATTACGAATATCAGGTGGGAGTGAGTTCCAGAGCTGGGGAGCAGAGCAGCTGAATGCTCTGCTCCCCACCGTAACAAGATGGGCAAGGGGAACAATGAGCTGAATAGAAGAAGAGGATCTGAGGGTATGAGCGGGTGTAGCAATGTGAACAAGGTCCGAAAGGTATGGAGGAGTGAGGTTGTGGACAGCTTTGAAGATAAGGAGGAGTATTTTGTAGTTGATGCGATATGAGATGGGAAGCCAATGAAGTTGTTGTAAAACAGGTGTGATGTGATGGATTGATGGGGTCCGTGTAATGATACGGGCAGCTGAATTTTGGACCAGTTGTAATTTATGGAGGGTTTTCTGAGGTAGGCCAAAAAGAAGAGAATTACAATAATCTAAACGAGAGGTGACCAGACTGTGGACCAGAACAGCAGTGGAGTGAGGAGTGAGGGAAGGACGGAGACGATTAATATTTCGAAGATGAAAGTAGGCTGACCGAGTGATATTATTGACATGAGAGGAAAAGGAGAGGGTGCTATCAAGGATGACACCCAGACTCTTAACCTGATGGGAGGGAAAGATGGAAGAGTTATCAACCGGAATGGAAAAGCTATGAAGTTTATTTAGTATTGATTTAGTGCCAATTAAAAAAAGTTCTGTTTTATTGCAATTTAGTTTAAGAAAGTTTGAAGTGAACCAGTGTTTTATTTCAAGCAGACAATCAGTGAGGGACGAAGGTGGAAGTGTTGAGTTAGGTTTGGTTGAGAGATAGAGTTGGGTGTCATCCGCATAGCAGTGAAACTGAATATGATGTTTGTGAAAAATGAAACCAAGGGGGAGAAGGTAAATGATAAACAACAAGGGTCCCAGGACGTAGCCCTGTGGAACACCTGAGGTAACAGAAACAGGATGAGATATGGAAGATTTTAACTGAACAAACTGAGTGCGGCCTGAAAGGTATGACTGGAACCAGTTGAGAGGTGTATTTACAATGCCAAGTGAAGAAAGTTTGTCCAGAAGAATGTTGTGTGAAATTGTATCAAAGGCCGCCGTCAGATCAAGCAGGAGGAGTATGGATAATAAACCAGAATCAGCAGCAAGGAGAAGGTCATTGATGATTTTAATGAGTGCTGTTTCAGTACTGTACAAATAACACACTGATGTTCCAGTTTTTAGTTTTCTACACCGCCTTATAATCTAGCTGTTTCTTTTTCCGCTACTTTTCCTTTTGACTGTCCTTTTGGTTGCCATTTTATTTTTAAAATTTTTTATTTGTATGCCTCTTTTATGACTGTCTATTGTTGCCGTTGTTATCCACTGTTGTCATCACTCTTTGTTAAAATCAGGTCTCTCTTGTAAATGAGTCCCCGAGGCTCAATGGAATTAACCTGTATAAATAAAGGTTGAATGAGTGAATGAATGTGACAGCCTAAGGATTTTATTCAACAGTTTTCTGATTTTTTAGTGGACTACATCCCAAGATTGGATAAGCTGTTGAATTGTGGGGACTTTAATATTCATGCTTGCCACCCTTCTGATCAGCTAGCTTCTGATTTTAGCAATATTTTAACTTTTAATTTAATATAGTTTGTACATGGACCCACACATCTTCTTGGGCATACCTTGGACCTTAATATTTCACATGGGCAGTGCATCTCATTTTGTGAAACATCTGAGACTCACTCATATCACTTCCCCGTCATGTTGGAGTTCCGCCAGTAGACCAGTACGCCTGCCGTTGTGGGTCACTGGCATTGTAAATGGAAATGGTAAATGGACTGTACTTATATGGCACCTTTCTATCTTATCAAGACACTCAAAGTGCTCTACAACACAGTCTGTGTCCTCATTTACCCATTCATACAGCACTCTACTATCCCTCTACACAGACTTCTCAGTGCTTTATCACATTCATACACCGATGGGACACACATCGGAAGCAATAAGGGGTTCAGTGTCTTGCCCAAGGACACTTAGGCATGTGACTGCTGGTGGAATCGAACCCCCAACTCTTGCATTGGAGGACGACTGCTCTAACCACTGAGACAGCCAGACAGTTTACAGCATGCTTTTATGGATTCACAGTTTTATGTTCCCAAAGAACTTTGTCGGATCATATCCTTACCTCTCTCCAACCCACCTGCTCTGAAATTCTGGACTCCATTGCTACTTTTTGGTTTAAATTCACCAAACCGAGGGCAGAGCCATGATTAAATGATGACACATGTGCCCAGGCAAAAATGCAGAAAAGCAAAATGACAATGGAAGAAAGATAAACTACTTCCAGTTCTAAAACTTTTTGGAGAATGTCTTGCTGTATTCCAGAGATCTGTTAAAGAGGCAAAATGCCTATTGATCTGGTTTCATTTCAAACAGTAGCCATTATCCTAGAGTGTTATTTAACACAAGTAACTCTGTTGTTAACCCTGTTACTTGTGTTCTACCAGATGCTACAACCGTTAACTGTGAGAACTTTCTTCATGTCTATATATAATAAATGACCTCAATCAGACAGGTTACTGCTTCTACTGCTGCTTCATCAATCATCTTCAATCTGCTGTTGAAGTTTCAGTTGTTTAAACACCTTGAACCAGTTTGTCTCACTTCTTACTGAAGATGTTCAACACATGAAGCTCAATAACTGCCCTCTGGAATTCTTCATTCTAAGTTTTTGAAATAATACTTAATACTTTATTTATAAGGCCTTTTAAAACAACCACAGCTGTAACAAAGTGCTGTACACATAAAATCAAGAACATTTAAACACATAAAAGAATAAGACAGTTCCACAGCTCCAGCTTCTTATCTGCCAGTGAGGTGATGTTCCATATCCCTAGAGCTAGTCTATGCTACCAAGAATCGGTATGGCCAGGGACCCTCCCTCGCCTGCTGCCTGACATGCACAGCATCTGACCTTGATGGACCTCCCCGTGTGGATTTGACTTCCTTTTATTTTTTCGGGCTTGGCCCGGCCGAGCCCCAGGAGTCACGGCTCAACCACCAGGCAATCGCCGCTAAGTCCCCCGCCCCCCAGGCCTGGCTCCAGTGAGGTGCCTTGGTTTACCTTTTCTGGGTAATGTTATTTGATGTATCTGTTGTTTTTTCATAAAGGTTGTGAATCACTCTTTGTCTAACCCCTCTCCTGAGACCTGTTTGCCATAAGGAAAACCTACTAGGGGCTGATGACTCTGAAGACATAGCCCCCAGGATCACAAGGGTACTCTAACCCCTCTACCATGTTAAGGTGGCGATTCTGTGGAGGGGCAAATTTCAGACCCACAGTTAAAAACTTGAGGATTAAGAATATGAAATTTGCTAAACAAATACCCTCTGTAGTCAAGGCCAGCTCTTTCAGCTACAACTTTTAACCAAAGTTAAGATTTTTTTTTTTTAACTGTCCTGGAAAAAAACGTTCATGCTTTCATTAGCTCAAGGCACGATTATTGCCATGCTCTGTATGTAGGAATCTCCCAATTCTCCATCAGACACTTTCAGCTGGTCCAAAACGCTGCAGCCCGACTTTTAACCAACACCTCCAGATGTGAGCACACCCATTTTATTGTTGCTCCATTGATTTACAGTCCATTTTAGATTATATTTTAAACTTTTATTATTCACTTTTAAAGCTTTTAATGGTCTCACCAAACCTTTTTTTTTTTTTTTTTAGCAGATCTAGTAGATTTCTGAGTATGGGACAACCTTAACATCAACTATACACCTTTAGAGATTCAGATTCAGAAAGATTTATTTGTCATACACACCACATGTGGTACATGAGGTGGAACAAAACTATGTACACAGGGTCCCAGTCACATCCAACAAAAACACAAATTGTAAAGAAAAACAACAAGATCTGAGTCATGAACTAAGAATACACAAGACTAAGAATGCGCTAAGCACTAATAGTACAAAAACAATGCGCCAAAACAACAGAAGCACCAACATGAGTCAGTGTGAGCAGATAAGGCCTAATGAACACAACAACATGAAATAATCAGCAGCATGAGATCAGCATCATGGATAGTCAGCAGCACATATCACAACCAAGTGGCATTACAGTGATTTTTTTTCACAGTGATTTTTTTTTCAGTCATTTTTCACAGTAATTTTTCCTGGTTAGAGATTCTTGAGTCTAACAGCCTCAGGGTAGAAGCTGTTCCTTAGCCTGGTGATTCTACACTTAATGCTCCTCAGCCTTTTGCCTGACGGGAGCGGGGTAAAAAGTGTGTGTGCTGGGTGAGTGAGGTTCTTAATGATGCAGGTGGCCTTCTTCCTGCATCTGGAGGTGTAGATGTCTGTGATGGTGGGGAGACTGACTCCAACATACTTCTGTGCAGCTTTCACCACTCTCTGCAAAGCTTTTCTTTCTGCAGCTGTGCAGCCTCCATGCCACACATTGATGTTGGAGCACAGGATGCTCTCCACTGCACACCTGTAGAAGGAGGTGAGGACTGAGCTTCCCAGTCCAGCTCATCTCAGCTGTCTGAGGAAGTAGAGTCTCTGTGTGCTTTCTTGATGAGGTTGGTAGTGTTGTTGATCCAGCTGAGGTTGTTGTTCAGGTGTACACTCAAGTACTTGTAGCTGGAGACCAATTCCACCACAGATCCTCCTATGTTCAGGGGTGGTGGTGGTGGCGTGTGTGTGTGTGGGGTAATTCCTTCTGAAGTCCACAACCATCTCCTTCGTCTTATTCATTGATGTGAAGGTTGTTCTTCTTGCACCAGCTCTCCAGGTGTTCCACCTCCTGCCTGTAGCTGGACTCATCGTTGTTTTTGATGCATCCAACCACCGCTGTATTGTCTGCAAACTTGACAGCCTGAATGGGTTGGTATGCAGTCATATATTAGCAGAGTGAACAGGAGGGAGCTCAACACACAGCTCTGGGGGGAGCCTGTGCTGAGGGTTATGGTGGAGGAGGAGAAGTCGTGGATCTTCACAGGTTGTGGTCTGTTGTTTAAGAAGTCTAGGACCCAGTTGCATAGAGAGGAACTTAGTCCTAGTGTGAGTAGTTTGTCCATCAGGGTTTGGGGGATCATGGTGTTGAAGGCGAATGTGAAGTCCACAAAGAGCATATGGACGTAGGAGTCCTGTTCCAAGTGGATGAGAGCAGTGTGGACCACAGAGGAGATGGCATCCTCTGTTGATCAATTCTCGAGTATGCATACTGGTGAGGGTCCATGTTGATGTTGATGTTAGCTTTGATGTGGGTCATGACCAGTTTTTCGAAGCATTTAGCGAATATCAGGGTGAGGGCTACCGGCTGATAGTCATTCAGGGCAGTCACTGTAGAGCACTTTGGAATTGGGATAATGGTGGCAGTCTTGAGGCAGGTGGGAACTGTTGCCAGTGTGAGGGAAGAGTTAAATATGTCAGCCAGCACCTCGCAGAGCTGATCGGCACAGTCTTTCAGCACCTTCCCCGGGATGTTGTCCGGGCCAGTTGCCTTGTGAGGATTGATCCTCCTGAAAGTACTCCTTATTTCTGCTGAGGTCACGCTGAGGAACTCTTCTTCTTGTGATAAGTTGAGTCTGGTGCTGGGTGGTCTGTTCGGGTCCTCAAAACATGCATAGAATCTGTTGAAAGCATCAGGCAGTGATGGATCCCTAGGGCATTGTGTACCTCTGCCTTTATAATCCATTATGCTGTTTACTGTTTGTCCCTAAGTCCAAATACAAATATTTGGGTGACCGGGCTTTTCGGTCACTGCAAAACAGAAGATACAGTAGTGGGATGTGACCAAAGAGTAAACCAGAATAGTGATAGGTGAGAGGGATGGACAGTGGCCAGCAATGTTATGGAGGTGAGAGGTGAAAGTAGGCTGAACGAGTGATGTCACATATGTGGGATTTAAATGATAATGTGTTGTCAAGGATGACACATAGACTCAACCTGGGGGTGGGGGGAGAAACTGATGTGCTGTCAATGAAAATGGAAAAGTCGCTAGTTTTTGCAACGGTGGATTTAGTGCCAATGAGAAGTTCTGTTTTGTCACTGTCCAGTTTCAGGAAGTTGCTGCTGAACCAACATCTGATATCATAAAGGCAGTCAGAGAGTGAGGTGGGTGGGAAGGTGGAGGAAGAGACGGTAGAAACAAAGAGCTGGGTGTCATCCGCATAACAGTGGAATTGAACGTGTTTTTAGAAGAGGTTGCCAAGCGAAAGTTGTAGATGATATGTACAAGCTTAGTGATTAACAGTTCAGGAGTTTATCAAGCAGGACATGAAAAAGTTCATGAAAAGATAAATACAACATCGGATGAGCTGCTCTGTCATTATGTATTTAACAAAAATAAATCTAAACCTTAAAATATGTTCCTGAAAATCAAAGTGTTCTTAATGCTTGACAGGATTTAAGATTATAACAACCAGTCTGCTGAACTAATGCACCTGACTAAGCTGTTTTCAGAAACTATGCTCTGTAGAAATGAACTTTATGCTGGTTTCCAAGAGAAAACACCAATCCCCCGAAGCAAAGAAAAAAGTGTATGTGGCAGCCATGTTGGATTTTGACGTGTCAACCCTATTTTTGATAGTGACCTTCCTTAGGCTATGTAGCCACACACCAAAATGTAAGGTAGCACCTCACTTATTTTTCAGGTTATCAAGCTCAAAATATGGACAGATGGCGAGTATTTCCAATTCCACTCTTCATTCCGCGACAGGGGACAAAAACTTAAAACTGCACAAATGCCAACACTTCTGGAAGAAAGTATTTTTTCACAGATGAATTAAGTAAAATAATCTGACTTAAACACATAGCTTCATGTTTAAAAAAGAAACTTTTTGTTCCTCATACATACTCTTCAGCTCAGTGATGGGAGGAGGAATGATCTGTGTCTGTTTTATAACCAAGTAAAGTTTCTGAACTCTGAAGTACTCTAATGTCAAACCTGAAGAGGGAGGTGTATCCTGAGGGGCAGTGATTTTAAACACACCAGCAAATCTCCAATCAGATCACCAATAAAGAAAACAACCTATGTGCTGCAATGGCTCAGTCAAAGTCCAAACCTCCAACATGACTGAAATACTTGGCAAGACCTTGTTGGAGCTGTGCAGAAACAGAAGAAAAGAAAAGCTCCTATACTCTGGTTTCAGTTTTAAACATGGTTCTGTAATCTGTTGGGTTATGAGGTGTATCTTTCTCTAGTCACTCTTTATAAAATGTTTTTACTTGAATATTTATATTTCCAACTTGTCTACAGTTGGCCATTACACATGCTGTTCCCAGTGGAAGAGACATTCATGCAGTAAACTAACTTTTTCTGTTTAAATAAAGGAAAAAGTCAGTTTCCACACTTGTCTACAATCACTGTATTGACCTGTAGAAAAAGGCCGACATTCATCAAAACCCAGAGTCGCAGCTCAATAACAAACACAAAAAGTAAGAAAAAGTCAACAGATGGGGGATTTTGGTGCAACACAGGCTTATCAGTCTTCCATTTATTTATTTTGCAAGGTTGAGAAAGGTCTCTGTGAAGAAAGCATTGATTATTTTAACTCCTTTAGAGCTGAGGCCCCTTTCAGTCGCAGATTAAGGAACAGTTATTTGTTTGGTACAGTTTTAATCAATCTGATGTAATAAACTTTCTGCCTTCTGCCTCCACACTTTAGTGACACAGGCAAAGAAACTAAAGTTTGTATTCTGATTTAAATTAGTAACACTTAGAGGTTTGAAAATATTCATTATTTTCAGCTCATTGTAAATCCTCAACTTTCATGTTGCAGTTTACTTTCAGGAATGGTAAGATTCAAGAGACCATATCATGATTATTTGAGTTTAAGTGTTGCACAAAAATGCGTCAGCTTCTCATACCGTACATTTCTGCATTAGCTTTGGCTTGCCTGTTATTCCTAAACCTTGTTGAAGCCCAGACCGCTCTTGGACAAAAATTGTGAAAAACTATGAAGCGGCAGTTCCTTTTCTTAAAAAAATCTGTTCAACTGCTTATTTATTGTAACATGTTCACATTTAGACTGAGAAAAATAAAGAAGTTGGTGTTCAAAACCTAAAGAGCATCAACTAGTTTAATCTTTCCCTGACAGATTCTCTAATTTACCTGTGCTTTTCCTTTGTGGTCATGCCTGTTGGATTTTTTCCCCCTTCAGGCAAAACGGCATGGGTTGGGTGTCCATGATGGCGCGTGTCGGAGCTATGGTGGCCCCCATTGTCCAACTGGCTGGGGACCACGTGCCCTGGCTGTCTGGTTTGATCTTTGGAGGAGCTCCAATCCTCTCTGGAGTGGCAGCAATTTTTCTACCAGAGACCCTCAACGTGTATCTTCCTGACACAATTCAAGATGTGGAGGAGAGGTGAGATCAATCCTTTCTGAAGACATAAGAATCGTTTAGACAACAAAAACAAAACGGGTCTGTTTGTTTGGTTTCTTAAAAACCGTACAGATTTATCTTTTCTATTTTTTGTTTTGAACACAGGGAATCTGAAAAAAGCTCCAAAGCGTCGCCAAAGGAAGCGATGATCCTTCAGGACACTCAGTCGACTCTCCTCAAACAGACTGCCTGAGATGCTCACAGACAGCTTTGCTGGATCCGCTGACCATGCCAAGAAAATAAAGCATCAAGTTTATTCCTTCCACCTGTATATCTGAACCTGACAAAGTTTATTTACTCGAGGAGTTTGGTAATATTTTCCTGAAAGTTCAGTAAAATAAACTAAAGGGCCTGCAGACAATCAGACAAACTGTGGGTTTGTTGATATTAAACTTGTTTTGAGAATATTAGGACTCACATTGTGCTTTATATTTCAAACATCTCTGTAGAATGATTTTTTTTCAAAGCAAGGTAAAAACTTGATGACTTGTCACTTTATAAGCAAACTTAGTTTTTGTAATTAACAAATATTTTATGAGAATGAATCACATTCAGATTATGGTTTTATGTTGTTGTTTTTGTAAAATACTTACACTTTTATTTAAATTCTAATGAGTTTCATTGAGAGGCAGCATGGTGGCGCAACTGGTAGAGCTGCTGCCTCTCAGAGAGCAGGTCCCTGGTTCAAACCCCGGTCCAGGGGCCTTTCTGGGTGGAGTTTGCATGTTCTCTCCATGCATGCGTGGGTTTTCTCCGGGTACTCCGGTTTCCTCCCACAGACCAAAAGACTGATTGGTAACTCTAAATTGTCCCTAGGTGTGAGTGAGAGAGTGAATGGTTGTTTGTCTCTATGTGTCCCTATGATGGACTTGCGACCCGTCCAGGGTGTACCCTGCCCCCCGCACAGTGATTGCTGGACATGGGCACCAGCGACCCCCGTGACCCAAAATGGAATAAGCGGGTAAAGAAAATGGATGGATGGATGAATTTCGTTGAGATTCCGTTGGAAAAAAGCTGTTAAATAACCTGGAAGTAGTGGCTTTTCTGGGCTGCAGTGCCTCCTCGTGGTAGTTTATAGCTATTACAACTTATCCCAACAGTAAATTACACAAGAAACAAATAACATAGGGTTTTTTGTTTGTTTGTAAATAAGCATATATTCTAACAATAAACGTTAGCTGTAGAATTTTATAGAGGAGAATATAAATATAAATAGTAGAAACCAAATTTCCTTTTGTTGTACCTGTTTCTTCTGTGTTTTTCCCGTAACAGCTAGCATTAGCATAGCAGAATCGCTAGCCCCGCCCTCTTCAGGAAGTTATTTTAAAATGCTCATGTGCAAAGAGTTTACACCGTAAAAGTAAAAACAATGAGTTTTGGGTTTGTTTAGGATTTGCTTATTGATTTGTGCCAGGTACCAACCATTCAAGCAGATAATTATTGTAGCTTGTGTTAAATATTTTTTTATTGGTGCTGCTCAGTGTTGATCTGTTGACAAAATGACCAACATGATCCGGAGTCATATTCTGCCACCCTCCACTGTGTGTACAATATCAGTTGACAGTAACATATTAGATCAGATGCAGGATTTGTAATGTAACAATGTCTTTTGTAGCATTTTTACTTTTGTTTGAGCAATGTCTGGATAACGTGATCATCTGCACAGCATAACATCACAAATGATTAATACAAGGGAAGAGTGCCACACAAACGATTCAAAACAGAAAAAAAAAAATCTGATGTCAGCAGAAATGGATATGGCTCTTTAAAGGGAGCCTGATCTTGAAGATTCGTTCATTTGAAAGAGTCGTTCAATTACGAATGATAGTGACATCATGACATAGATCCCTATGTAGAGCACTACGTAGATCATGTTGATGTTACTACATAGGCCGTGTCACAACATAGATCACTACTACCTATGTAATGGCCTACGTAGTGACATGATTTACAATAGTCCCTCGCTACATCTCAGTTCAACTTTCTAGGACTCGCTTTTTTACGTTTTTTCTAAGTAAGACTGGACATGAGCTGACTGATGGATGAGCCACCATCAGCCATGGATTGTTTATTTAAGATAAATTATTTTAAATGATTTAGCACCTGCTAAATCTTTAGGTGCAGGGAGGAGCTCCGTTCTGCAACCTGTCATGATCTCTGCTCTCTGCCACCCCCACATTTCTCCTCCTGCTGAAGTAGCTTTGTGAAGGTTAACCCTTTGCTGTCCGGCTGCACCGATCGACTTTTGTCTTCCAACTTGAAATTCAAAGTATGTCACATCGTAAAATCATCATAATCACAAAATATAAAAGTGATAGGATATAAAAAGGATATAAAAGTGTTAAAATTTATTTTTTTATTATTTTAGAATTTATGTTCAGTTGTTAGTGTATTTGATCAAAAAGTGCATTTCTGCTCGTGCTGTTGTTAACCCTTTGCTGTCCTGTTGCGCTTCTCTTCTCTATAATAGAATATTTTATAGAAACAGGATTGTTTATTTAAAATATTCTATTATTTAAATAGTTTTTTACACAGAAGGAGGGATTGGGATGTGATGAGTGTGACTGCAGCGGAGAAGTGGGCGTGGCAGAGAGCGTTGGCAAGTGGCAGTGAGTGGAGATCATGACATGCTATGTGCTCTTTTAGAGCGGCAAGGGTGCGGGCAGGGATTATAAAGCCTTTATGTGTGACACACATATATTATAAACTACTACTACTACTATTTGAACTACTATCCCTACTTCACGTTTTTTCACTTATCGCAGTGGGCGTGGTCCCTAAACCCCGTGATAAACGAGGGACTACTGTACATCACTTTGCAGTGACCTATGTACAGGTCCTTCTCAAAAAATTAGCATATTGTGATAAAGGTCATTAT